AGAATGAATAAATAAAGGTAGGAAAGCCACTGGGGCATTAAATCATTAAATTCACTACTGTGGGGAAACAAATACGGGGTGTCAATTTGAAAACTCCCCACCCTTAATGTCTTTCTTGCCGTTGAAAATATTAAAAATTGGACAGACCCGGCAATTTTATTTGTAAGGGGACACTTGAATGAATATTTTTAGCCTCCTTGTTTCAACCTTCTAGGACGAGTAGGTGTCAACCTTAGAATCTTAATCATTAAATGGAAAGGGGGATCGAGTGGCACATCGTTTTAAAGCGCGTTCAATTCTCGTTAGATTAGTTATTACTTTGTTGCTTTTTGTTCAGAAGTTTTCTAATAATTCGCGTAATAAGGAAAAGCACCAAGCTGCGCATCTACAAAAGCATCGTAAAGATAATAATTGTGTATGGAGCGAAAGTATGGGAAGTAAGCAAGGCAAAAAAAAATCTTGACCACGTAAATGGATTAATTAAGAAGAAGTTGTAGAATGTCCAGAACAGAGCAACCAGTATCTAAACTATTAAGCAGAATATCGGCATAGGAAAGGATATTATGGATGATGTTGAAAAGAAACAGTTAGTATGCTTCGAACACACAAAGCGAATGGGACAAAATCGATATCCAAGAAAAACAGTGTAATGAACAAAAAAAAAGAAAGTGGGAAGACGGGGAAGACCCTGGAGGAATGACATGGACGATGCAAAGAAATCAAGGAACATGAACGGAAAACTGAGTCCGGGAAATTGGTCATGTTCTCGTAAATATTTTATGAGAAGCAGTTAAGTGTTGCTCCCAGCGCGAAAAAAGTCCGTGCGTTCTGTATAACACAGTCAAAAGCGTTTGGATAATCCACAAAACAGATAACCAATAAAATATGGAATATTTCGCCTTTACTTGGATGGACTTACTTTACTGGTTCATCTATCATCGATCGATCCAGATAGGTTACTAACTCCCGCTTAATAATTCGAAGAAGAATCCTGCTCGCGTGTGATATTAAAGAAATGCTACAGTAACTGCTACTTTTGGTAAGTTAAAAATAAAAGTAGATCAGTGTGTTCACATAATTTTTTTCTTCCATATCATTTTAGATAGGTGACTTCAGATATGATCTAGAATGCGTAAATTTTCTCTCGTTAGTTCGTCCTGATCTGCAGAGTTACTTTTAAATTTACTATTGTCTCCTCTACCTTTGCTTGTTTGATCTCAGTTTCGTCTACCTTAACAAGTCTCCTCTCTTTGATATGTTTCTCGTCATATTTCCTTGAGATGTCCTTTGAACAGTATTCAATTCAAAATGTTTCAGAAAAATTGACTTTCTGAAGCACGTACTGTTGAGGCCAGTTTATTTCTATCTCTTGGTTATATGTTCAAACTGTATTTTTTTAAACATTTTGCAATCTTTTCTGAACATTTTCAGATCAAGCATTTTTAGAAATGCAACTTCATCGAATATACATGAAGCTATTCTTAGCTTTTGCTTCGTAACTTCCCAAGTCTCGTCATTTATCCAGAACATGCGTCCCTCTCCATTCCCTTATCTGCAACAATTAGTAGCTGCCTTCAGAAGATTCTCCTCCACGATTCTTCCCTATTATCATTGGCATTTACTACGTTTCTTCTCATTCCAGTTCCTTCTGTTTGGTGATAGGTCTGCTGCTATTCCTCAAACATAGTCTTAATCCTTAGAGTCTTGCAGTTGATCGCTACTACAATTTCCGGAAAAAGTTGTAATGTTTGCGGCAGAAGGTTTCCATCTTATGCTGATTAAAACGATTTCTCTTTGATTTCCAATAATCCTGTTTATTTTCTAAAATTCTAAAGATATAGAAGTTCTTCCCGTGAGGAGTGTAGAATCACAGGCGAAAAATGATTCTTTATCACTGATACGTTCCATACAACTGGAAGGATAACAACTTTATGCGCGGCCATTTCCTTTTCAAGAATCATATACATTTTCATTAAATGGGGCCATTCCAGTTTATTTTTCAGGAAGTTTCAATTAATAAATCAGGACTTCCAAAATTTTCATTTTTCCAACACCTCACTGTTTACAATTACCCATAAAATAACGGCCGTTCGAACCGACATTCATTTGCCCGGTTTATATGAAAGTAAACAAAAGAAGACGGAAGAGGTGTGCATTTATTTGGCAGAGGAAATCGAAATTAGATAAGCATGTTTAAAATTCCAGACGTCGTCCGTTTTGCACTTTTACTTTCGATCTTCGTCTATAACGAAAAAAAGACTCTCTCCAATGACCGAAGCTTTCAACATTAAATTCTTTTGACGACATTCGCATGGCATGTCCGCCGTGTTTACAGCAGGCTATTTTCGAAGTTCCACTGAAAAATGAATTATTGATGCTGAAGTGTCTGAAAATAAACCGGAAGAAATCGTGTAAACATTATTTTAATGTAAGGTTTTCCAAGTGGAGGCGCAAAGATTTATTTAGTAAGAAAATGCCCAAAAAATTGAGAAAGGAATTCTCAAGCCCGTTGGTTGGTTAAGGAACCCATCATAGTAAAAAAGGCTGAGCTTAGTCCAAAGTCCTGAAGCGATGTAGAAACAAACCATCTAGAAGCAGCCTTGAAGAGTCCAAATTAGAAACGGCGATTTACAAAAAAATTGCTATTAATATACGGCAACTGGCCACGGATGCCTAATCAAATGCGCTTTGAATTCAGTCTTTAAATCACGCCTTTATTAATAAATGCAATTTGCGTTAAATATCCACCCAGCATTGAATCATTGAACGTTTTTATTTAACGAACATTTATTGGCTTTTTGGCCCAAAACTGTTTCTTTGGATCAAGGATTGAATGCAAGCACCTTCAATTAATTTCAAAGGCAGTTCCACCAAAACTCATTAAGAATCATTGGCAATACCATTAATGGTATAACGTAAAGCCGACCAGTTTGCAAGGTTAACTAAACCAATAACAGTTTCACCTTAGCACTCAGCAATGACATCATCAAAATAATGTTTGCAGGCAGAAAACCGAGCTGTTGAATGATGTTTTCGGATGACAAAGTTTTTCTCTTAATTTGGGAGTCATCCAGATGACTTGAGGCAGTTCATTCCCTGAAATATGCGACTTTCCGCGATTGTCCAATGAATTTTTATTAGTGTATGTAAATCAACTATTTTATCGCGTGAAGCCAAGCTTGAAAATCTCTGGTACCAGTTACAATCGAAATTGGAGATTTTTGTTTTTATTTGGTGATGCTAAAGGTCACCAAAACCGTGTCCAAATTACTATTTTTGTATTTTGATGTTGAAAGAAACCAAGCTACCAAATAAAATCAATGTTCTTCCAGAGGCTGTAGTTGTGATAATTTATTACAAATTATTTTAAAACAACGATAGTTTAATTCATTGAATCTTGGAACTTTATTGTTAACAGATTTTTGCATTATTGTCATGTTTATGTGCGTTATTTTACTGGTGGTTGGAAGTGGTTTTATTCGAATTGCGTCACTTAGGTACTCTTCTTGTGGAGCTTTATACACAAATGTCTATGAAAATAGTCAATGATTTCAGAAAATAATTTTTCACGACTTTGAAATAATTCCACAGCGTTTTAAGTAGAAAAACTAACAGTCCCATTTACGGTACTGATATTATTATTTCTCTACTCCAAACATTGGCTTGTATTCTGCATTGTAGTGTAGTTCCAGCGCATTTATTTATCTGGCCGACTGCATATCGTATACGAGGGCATAAAATCCCACTAGCAAATTATATTTTATATTAGAAACTAGTTATAAAAGAATTGCTTAGATGCTCTTGTCTCTTTTATAAATATGTAAAGTATCTGCCTCCATTTGCCCAGGTTGTTGAGTATGAAAAAAAATTCAAGCAATTTTCACGTCATCTTTAAAATAAATCAATCTGTAATCTTAAGAAATAGGCTATTTGTACTATCTAAAACTGAGGTGTTCTCTAACGATATTTGTAAGTTTAAAGTGTTATCTGCTCTTGTTATTTCGTTGGGATTTGTTGTCAAGGGCGTTGATCTTAAGAGACGCTTTAGTTCTTCGACTGAGTTCAAAAAATATCTGTAAAATTAGCAGAGGGTCCAAATTAATTAAGGCGTTACATTTTTAGAGACTTTCGCACAGGCGCTGTTCAGGTAAGAAACCAGGCAAAAGCTCAAGCTCTTGCACTTTACACTTTCGAAGTTACTAATAGTACATAGTTTTTGAGTATTTTGAGTTTTAAAGAAATCAAGTGTTCAGGTCTTTGAAACAAACCAAGCACTAGTCTGAATCAGTTGAAAATTTTTATTTACGCAAACCGTTGAAAATTTTTATTTACGCAAACCGTGCAAGTTTAAGATATCATCTGATCTAGTTATTTAGTTATAATTTTTAATGCTCTTTTTATGTGGAAGCGTTAGTTCTTAGACCAAACCTCAAAAAACTCCCTAAAAGGAAGGGCCGTTCAAAAAAGATTCAAAATTTGGGATTTAGAAGCCAAAGCACTGTTCAGGGGCAAATCAATCTAAAGTGCAGGGTTTGGCTCTTTCCAGTGTTGAACTTATAAATTTTTTAAAACCGAAATTGTTCTTTAAAGCCGAAAAATCGACGTTTGTCTTATTCTTCCATTTCCAAGTTCCAGTTGTCCAGTCCATTTTTTTAGACCGATTTGCGTCAATTGCCCTAAGAAGAGAGCCTCATGAACAATTATCACCCTTAAAAAGGCCTAAATAAGGCAATAAAAGTAAGTGAAATTTCCATTTTCAATGACAATGCCAAAACTTCACTCTCCTCACTGTGTAAACTATGTTTCAATTTTCCTCAATCCTTTTTAAAAAAATAGTTGATATTCGTCCTCACCTACCAGCCATCACCTGTAACCTATGACTCAAGAATTGTTGCTATTACGCAAACAAACCGGTTTAATAGAGAACCAATAACATTGGCATTTAATTTAATATCGTTTTCCTATGGGGAATTGAATGGAATAAACAATCGTAAACTCACATGAAGCCTATTGATAATCCTGTCGAACTTGGAGGGCGATTCTTGTCGATCACTGTTAACGTGGTTTGCATTGTCCAACACGTCGCCCTTTTTTTTGCACAATCGATTGCCCATTTTCAATAGAAAATCAACATCGATCGCATAGTTTTAGTAGGAAAAGTTTAGCGCGCRCGGTTCGGTCAGCGGTATTTTTGGATCTCGCAAAGGCATTCGACGTAATACACKGGGCCGCGCACCAAACCCAAAGTCGATCTAACTGCGTCTCGTTCACTTAGTCTGTGCGGAATTTCGTGYGATCTGAAATGGGAGAGAGGCTGCGTTGCGATGTGGGGAAAATGCTTTATTTGTCCTTTTTTGTATRTTTATTGCTAAATCTAGATTTTTGTCAATTAAATGTGCATAAGTAAAGTGATAATTTAYTAATTTTGAGAAAGTGAAAAATGTAAATTGGAAAATAGTTTATTCTWTGAGCTGAATYCATAATACTTAGCGTCYCACTGTTCAGTTTTTAATGTTTAAKCARCTAAAATTATCAATTTTGCTTCTTCTYTTYTCAATTTTCTCACTCACTTTCGATTCAGTTTTCATTTCGTTGCGCCTAACTAATACTTCCAAAAGTCACAGCTGAAATTGTTTTTAATTGTATGTTTTTTTCTTTTCAGCTTTTATGAAATTTGATTATTTAACTCTCCTTATTTAACAGTTTCTCCTTTCAATTTGGATTTTCTAAGGAAGCGTTTAATATTTTCACCCAATTGACTCCCTGGAGCGGACTACATTCAGCATGTTGAACTTGCACGGTTTGACTGAATTGTTTACTAGTCTTCCTTTTTCTTTAAAAAGAAT